ACAACACACACACACACACACTTAACTATATATATATATATATATAATTATATAAAATTATAAAAATATGTGTAGTGCTCACATTATGTATATAAAATACGTATAGAACACACATGTACTATGCATGGAGAGCAGGTGTAAGAGATGTCTCACATACGCTACTCACAGTTAACTTAGAATACATCGATTTACGACTACTCACAGTTAGTCTCAATAAATCTTACTGGTTCCGGCAGTGTTAAACGTTGTATAGTGTCTGCGGAAGCATCGTCTCTCCGTTGACGCGTAGGTGTGTCCGTTAGCTCCAGTTTCTACATAGGCATCAACATGAAATATGATTAATGTTTTAACATGTATTCATATAATACATGATTAATGTAAAAACAGAGTTAACATTATAATACATGATTAATGTAAAAACATAACATTATAATACATGATTAATGTAAAAACATAACATTATAATACATGATTAATGTAAAAACAGAGTTAACATTACAATACATGATCAATATAGTACAAGAGCAATGTAATACCATACGCATTATTCCCTACGCATCACCTCTACATCAACCATCCAACACATCAAATCAAAATAGTATCGCATCGCTCTCCCCACTCACCGTTCCCACGCCTAGCACCACTTTGTCTGCGTTGGGTAGGAAGGGCTGTATGTAGCTCTGAGGGCTGGCCCCATAGTAGGCGTCACTGACATGCTTAATCTGATTCATGTTAAGTGGAGGGTATCCTGGTTTGAAGTAGAGTGTCATATGCGCCACTGGTGCGCACACGCGGTCTCGCTCGGCCGTGGGGAAGGTGACGGTCATCTGGCTGCGTGGATGGATCGATACATATATGTATATGTGTATGTATAAATGTCTTTGATGTATACAAACGGATGTGTACAGGTGTTTATATAGATACATATGTGTGTAAGTCTGTGCAGATCAGTGATCTGAGTCACGATAAAGCTGACTGCCCTGGCACAAGTGGAATATAAGGTTCCAGCCATCGTGGTGTGTGGATTGACAAACTAATGCATATTTATTATACTACAATTATATATATACATATATATTTATATATATATATATATATATGTATAGACATATATACATATACCAAAAATACGTATATATATATACATACATACATACACACACACACACACACACACACATA